TATAACTAGCTGTCCCACCCGGCATTGCGCGAGCCAAAGTTACCTCAGGTGAAATAGTTGGCAATAGCCAATATTATAACTTATGTATATAAGTTCAAGGACTCAAAAACGCATTAATATTATAATATTATAGATGATCCCGTTCACTTCGTTGGTCGTTAAAATATGTACCAATTCTATATGATTCAAACTTTGTTCAATTCGTTTATTTAATATTCGGTGTATGATGTTCAAAACTTAAAAATTCTCATCGATCATCTTGAATATATAATTAGACGAGAGACACGCTTGTATGTATTGTATATTTGTATGCTTGAGACACGTAGTATGTTTTCAAGTATGCAATCCACCACGAAGTGGGTACGTAATTACGAATGTTTTATTAACACGTTGATATTATGATGTGCGTGTATCGAAAAATTAGTCTTGGGGATACCGTTTTTACTAAGCTATATAGCTACAGGTCTAAAATTATATTCATTACTCAATCATGACCAATAGCAACCTTACAATGAACAAAAATATATTATTATTATATAATATAATATATATTATATTATTTGAATGACAATTACATATAGCACATAGATACAATAGTTTGTTTAATATTTTTTATAATTATCTCATAAAATTTAATAAATTAAAAACCGTTGGTAGTGGGAAAATCATGAAAAAATACTTTGGGGGAGTCTTACATTCTAATTAAATTCTCATTACATTTGCTACCTGCTCTGAAATTCTATAATATAATATGAACTTGGTAAACTTATAATAAAGTTAGCAACTCCATATAATATAAGCAACTTACACCAATAATAATAAAGAAGGAATATTACAGTCCGAAGTTTAGGAGAATAGGGCGGCCCTAGGTATATTAATTATATCTTATATAACAACGGTTATCAGTATACATGGGGTTATTACCTATTTTATCAACTAAAATTTAAATTAGCCTAGCATAGGTTGTAATTTATTTTGCCCTTTAAATTCTAACTGTATTAATTACTATTAAATCATATTTAGGAAACCGAAATGTTAAACAACACTTAACAAAACTTTAACTTCAAATTAAAATGATGAATGAATGATACATAAATATAACTATAAGCACAAAATTACAAAAATACAAAATATTTAATATTATATTATGATGTTCTTAACATTTAATTTTATAATCTACACAGTACATAAGTAGGTAAATCTTAACCTAACGTAATACTGTGATGGGCATCATGTTATTTCAAATAAAAGTAATTTATGAAATACGTAAATAATAACGAGCCCTGGTTAAAATAGTTTATTATACAAATTTTATGATACAAAAATTAACTGAAATTACATTTTCAAATTGTAATTATTATCAGTTTTTATATTTAATAATTTAATGATACACATAACATTACAATAACAATAATAATTAACATTAAATATTTTATCGACACAGTTATTTTTATAGTGGTATCAAAAAAATAATGAACAAATAAATATTATTATTATTTTTTCCAATAGGCAATAAATTACCAATAAACATCTTTAAAACTGTGACCTTGGCTAATATTGCGAATACTTTATCAAATTTGACTTCTCATTAATATTGTATTTGGTCATTTACGACGAACAGGTGTAGGTACCTACATATAACTTTTGTGCAAAAACTACTAACATAAAACTCGTATAATTATCGTAGGTACATTATTTAGTTTTATTAACTATTATAAGTTTTCAAATAGTAAAATGCCTAATTGCAAGGGCGTCCTCAGGAATTGGCCAAGGGGAGGTCAAAATATTTTCCTTTATAAATTTTTTGTCTCACTATCCTATTAGTTATAAAGTGTATTTGTGACATATTTTCTTTCATATTGACAAGGAATGTAAAAACGTTTATGAATTATACGTAGATAGATAGTTAAAAGTTGCCCAGTACCGCAACTTGGTACATATATTGGTGGGTGTGCGACCAAATATATAGGGCCCATGTACAGTGGTGCAACTATGGATGAGGGGGGGGAGGCTAAAGCCCCCTTCACTATGATTCAGACCCCTCCAAAAAATATTCCTTTTTTGTTTAGATATAAGCCACTTATTTCAGATTAAATACATATTGCTTGTTGTTTTTAGCTATATACATTATTATTATGTAGTTAATAAAATATACACTGCTATACTGCTCACAGATAAGTGAAGAGCATTGAACACATTGTACATTGTAGTGATTGTACACAGATAGTTGAGGACTGAGGAGCAAAGTGGTATGCGGCCCTTAAAACCATTTATTTTCTTTCTTGTCCCAATTTAAATGCCATAAACCATCAGCCATCACAACATAACTAAATTAAGAAATTATTAAAAGTATCAATTATGTGATAAATATTCAATTCATCGGTTCGTGCTCTTTCAATGTTTAAAAATCTTATATTTGTAAGACGTTCTTGAGAAATTGAATTTCGTAGTAAATAAATTGTTATTAACTTCAGTTTAGAAGAAAAAGAGCGTTCTGCAGATGCAACAGTTACTGGTAGAGAAAAAAAATTATGCAGCAGTAGTATTAACTTTCGAGCTCATTGATTTTTTTAAATATTAGTAAAAAAAAACATGCTAATCGATTTTAAATACGAAATACAAGTTGCAAGCGGAGTGGCTGAACGACTAAAATGTCGGTTGTGACGTAAACGTCGCTGGTTCAAACCTCGGTTCACGGGCGGCATTTTTCTTCGGACAAGTAACGGTGTCCGGAAAGAAGTTCATCCATCCGGGTATGGCAAATACCCAAGGGTGCCCACTAAAAAAACTTGCAAAACTACACACACCTGTTTACAAACCAACAGTACCCTCCCCTACAAACTAACACAAAACAAAAGAGCTAATGGCCATAATTGTTGGGCTTAAAGATCAATGAAAAAAAAAACTATTTTAGGTATACCATCATTACCATCTACGAATATTAAATTTTTATCAAAAAAGTAAAAGCTTGGTTGACATTGCAGTATTGCACTTGGTCCCACCACTACATCTCATAATCTATAAAAACAACGTTCTTAGTTCTGACGTTTATAATTGAGTGTAATAAAAATTACTCTGTAAAAAAAAAATTTTTATATTTTTAATTTAAAAAAAGGTGGGTAAGTGGATGTCGCTCTGCTGTACAGTAGGATACAAGTGGGTCACTGTATAATGGATGCTATTAAATTTGAATTCAATGATACAATATCATTGTATAAGAAAAACGATTCTGAGCGAAGACGGTATGTCAGTCTAAGTTTAAGACAAATTATATACATATCTATGGCATTAAAAAAAAAATTGACCTATAATAAATTCCAAATTAATCATATCACATTATCACAATATCCATTAGGTACTTATAACACGTTATACATCAACATTAATAACAAATCCTGATACTATCATTGATATATAATAGTAAACTTTAGAAGTTTCAAGTAGGTACCCACGAATAATATTATATAATCACAACAAAATAACTAGGTTTTTTAATATGTAATTTCGTCCAAATTTGAACATAAAGTGACTATAAAAATAAACTGTGATTGTATATTTTTTAGATTTTTCGGTAAGAGAATTAACTACTTACGTGGAATCTTGTTTTAAATTGTCAATCCTTAGGTATAAAAACTGAACATTTTATAATTTATTAATTACGATGATTAATAATTTTCGAGATTTTGAAAAATTCTGTCAAAATTCGATGTTTAAATGCTTATAAAAAAAATTGTGCCTATGTATTTTTAATATTTTTCAACTGATATTGTAACAATATATCAAGAGCCTTGTATTAAATTTTTACACTTTTTGGCCCAACAGATAAAACTTTATTGATATTCATAGAAAAAAAAACTAAAAAAATTGAAAAATGAAAATAACCGTAAAGAGCTCAAAAAGAGTCAAAATATTTTCAAAATTGTATGGTGTATAGGAAATGCTAATATAAACATTCAGTGAAATTTTCATGTATCTATAGTTATTCGTTTATGAATCGCTACATGAGAAATCAAGTGAACATCCAATGTTGTAAAAATTTGAATTTCAAACGATTATAAAAATTTAATTTGAGTGTCCGGTAGATTTTTTTATTCATAAAGGTAGACAAACTTATGAGTAATCTTGTATCACATTTTCGTGATTTTTCCATATTTTGTCAATTTTTGAACATTAAATGCTTATAAAAAAAACTGTGACTAACGATTTTTAATATTTTTCATCTGCCTTTGAAACAATATACTATCTCTTAAATTTTCAAGTTTTTTTAACAAACAAATAAAATTTTATTGATATTTCTAGAAAAATACTAAAAAAAAATGAAAAATTAAAATGTCCGTAAACAGTTCAAAATAAATCAAAATATTTTGAAAATGTCATCGTGTATAGAAAATGCAAATATAAACAACCAGTGAAAATTTCATGTATCTACGGTCATTTGTTTTAAAATTACACCAAAAACCAAATTCAATTTTCTGAAAAATCGATTTTGCGTAAAAATTCCCGTTTTTCCATAATTTTTCTTTTGTTTTTCTTGGCGCTTCTGAAAAGTTCTGGGAGTTTTAAATTTTGACCTCCCCAATGCACCAACGATATTCACTTTCCAATCGAACAAGATACTGAAGTTGAAAATCGAAGCATTATTTCGACTACTTATCGTGTACACAGACACAAAAAAAATAAAAAATAAAAAAACACACATCATTGTAAAATCAATACATTCATAGTTTCACTCAGAATCTAAAAGATAATTTTGCGATATTTTATATTACAACCAATGGCGCCGAAATAATTATTTTTAGGTGTGGCAATGATCATTAATTTATACCCACCCTCCTATCTCTACGCGGTATGAGACCTAAGCCGTGGGGGGCAGAGCCCCCCCACCCACTAATCATTACCGATTTTCAACAAAGACTATTAATAACATAAATAACATCATAACTAACTATTTACATAAATACAATATGTTCATTTATTACTGCATTTTGTTACTAATTTGATTAACATAATATTTTTTTTAGCACTGTACTATATGATGTAAAAATATTAATAACTGAGTCAGAGTCAACGTCAATATCATTTTCACATGATATTAACATCAGAGAATCCAATCGTTCTTCTGCCATCGTACTTCTTAATTTACTTTTAATAAGTTTTAATTTTGAGAAGGCTCGTTCTGGAGATAAATTTGATACAGGTAAAGTTAATCCAATGCTTAACGCTGTATAAATAGCTGGAAACACTTCTTTCAGTCCATTTTGTTGACACACCTTGTATACTGTATATATTGTTCCACAAGTTGTAGACATAATTTGATTTTCTATATCCTCTTCTTCGGTGTCATCATTGCTATCATGATCAAATGGTATGGGTTTATGTATCTTCCCTGGTAATTTTATTAATTTTTCAAACATTAAATATGAATTTACAAACTGTTTGTATTCACGTCTCAAATCCTCAGCCTTTACAAATTGTCCATACATTTTTTCAAACCCTTCAAACGCATCAGATGGTAAATTTTTTTCCTTAACTTCTATTATTCTCTTTACTTGAAAAAGTGATAAATCTTTATATAGTGGCGTTGACTGGTCATTAAATCTTTCTCTAATTTGAGTACACACAATATCAATGATTGTAAAGTATGTGTTAACTTTAAAATTTGTAAGTGGACAGCTGATAGGTTCATCAGACATAATTTCACCTGGCATTTTCTTTTTTGCTCTTTTTCTATTTGTTACTAATGGTGTAAAAGATAATTCGTCACTTTTAGATGATACAAACTGATTTTTATTTTTGATTAACATTTCAAACTGATTGTCATCTCTGAAGGCTTGAATTTTTTCAAATACCCATTGTATATATTCAGTAGCAGCCAGTAAATCAATTTGTACGCCTTGTAAAAATGTACTTAAAGGATTAGTAAGCTCAAATATTTGTTTGAATATAAAACCAGTTAATATAAATGATTCTGACAATAAATAATTCATTAAACTTCCAGCCTTGTAATGCGATCAACATCATTTTGTAATTCGTCCAATGTGTCATTTGAATGTGTCACATGAATCATATGTCTCAAAAACTGTATGAAGAGCAGCAGCATGGGATGACCACCTGGTAGTTTCTACTCTTTTTAATCTACGTAATGGCTTACCAGGATATCTTTCTTTTTGATGTTGTGAATATAGCCCTACTCGTTTTTTACTGCTGCCTATGTAATCATATAGTGTTTCTAAATTACCGAATAGATTTTTGGCCTGGGAGCAACTACTTACTGCATCTACTATTACCAAACTAAATCTATGTGCCCAACACCAAACATATGTAGCAGAAGGGTTATGTTCTTTCATTATGGCCTGCAATCCATTGTAGGCACCTCTCATTGAAGCGGCTCCATCGTATGATTGACCAATTAGATATGTTTTCCAATCTATACCCATTTCTTCACATATATCATTGAACATTGTAAACAAATGTTCACCAGTGGTTGATAAAGTTTCTCGGTCAGCTATTAATCTTTCACTGACTTCATCGGTGTTTTTATTTATGTACCGAAATATTATTGACAACTGCTCCTTTCGTGAAATATCAAATGTAGTATCTATAGACACGGAAAAATATTTGTCATTAATAAGCTCATCTTTAATCAAATTACATATGTGAGTAGCAATAGCTTGAATTAATTGGTTTTGTCGTGTCCATGAGATAAAACTATATGTGTGTTTTCCCTTCAATTGAATTTCGGTTAAATGTGATGCTAATGGGGATGAATATTTTGCTACTAAAATAGTTAAATCTTTAAAGTTTCTTTTATCTTGCCAACCTTCTCTATGGCCTCTAAATGGTAAGCTATGTCTACTTAAATATAATGTGATTTCTATTAAATTTTTTATAACTTCTTTATTCATTACTAGTTTTTCCATTTCATTTTCTTTCATTGATTGAATAAGAGGAAAAGCTGCTTCTTTATATATTGCTTTAATCGAGGCAAAAGTATGATTTTCCGTAACTTCGTGTCTGCAAATTTTGACGGGTCCATTCTTCCAATCTGAAAACCCAATGCATACCCATTCGCATTTTTTATTTTTGCCAAATAGTGCACAGTGAACACAATATAATCGGTTATTGATCCGAGAGTAGGACATCCACTTTCGACGAACTGATTCTCCACTGGGTAGTTATTTCCAAAACCAACTATCATGAAATGATCTACCTTGAGAATTTTTGGGAAAACATTCAGAGGGCATTTCATGAGAGAATGGCTGCATTGGTCCTCATTTAAATAAATATTCAATTATTTCAGGGCTTATTCTTTGAATTGAGTTAAACACTGCAGGATCATTTCCAAATTCTGACACTACTAATAAAGAGATAAATTTAGTTGTTTAAAAAACTGTACTTTTTTTAAACATGTAATTTATAGTTAAATTTTACATAAATTATTGTTAAAATAATAATAAATACCTTCAATTAAAAAATACATTTAAACAAAATAAACTTATTATTTTAAAAAAAATCTATTATTACTTATTTAATTTTCAATAATTGTTATTCGTTTCTATTTATCAAAGTTACAGTATTAAATATAAATATTTGTACTTTTATATTTTATATAACCTATCAAAATATCAGTTTTCATATTTCAATAAATTAAGTATACCAATAGCAATATAAGTAGGAAAACATAAATTACCTACCATTTTTATTTGGATAACTGGTAGAAATCATGTCTTTTTGCTCCATTTGCTTTTGCTCATTATGGCCACTACAGCCTGGATCATTTGAAACACTAAAATATATTTATTAGCAAAAACTACTATTACCAACCCTCATTTTATTAAGTATTTATAAATATTTACCATCACTCTGAATTACTTCTATAAAAGAATTACCACAATCTTCATCAATTTGTTTCTCAATTTGACTAAATGTATTACTTACAGCAGAGTCCAAAACTAAAAATCAATTAAGATATGTATCAAAACAAAATGTATATGTAGTATTTAGTATTTATGAATAATATTGTGATGTCAGAATTTCAAAACTTTTAACAGAAACTAAAATAATAAAAAATGTAAAAAAATTTTAAGTTTTACCTAATCATAACTTTGAAATAGATTTATATTTTCATTTTAAATATGCTTTATATTTTATATAACCTATCAAAATATTAGTTTTCTTTAATATATTTGTATAGGAATTTTATAATAATTTAATATTACATACATATTACCTACTCTAAACAATAATTATTTTAATCTTTAATAATTATAAAGGAAAATGTAGATTTTTAGACTTTTAACATTAATCAAAAACTATAACAATTATTCTTAAAAATTAAATATTAATAATACCAGCCTAAATAAATAATAATTATTACCTTTATAAGTAATTAGTAATAACCATTATTATCATTATCATATAGGTATTTTCTTATAGTTTTTTTTAAATGATCAATCATATTTTAAGTGTATCAATAGTAATATAAGTATTAAGTAGGTAAACATAAATTACCTACCGATTTTATTTGGAGAACTGGATAAAATCTTATCTTTTTGCTCCATTTGCATTTGCTCATTATTATTTCCACTAGAGCCTGGATCATTTGCAAACACTAAAATATATTAATTATTTATTAATTTAACTAAATTTGTATAGGTAAATATATATTGGTTTTAATTTAAGTGCAGTAAGGCATAATATAACACTTTTATGAAAAAACACGAATACGGAATAACCACAATAATAATATTATTATTATGCATTTATCATTTTTATCGCAGTCTAAAAATATCTTGTCAATTTTATATTAGTGCGTGGTAGTCGTCGTCTCATGCCATATACAATAATTGTATACGCCATAATATTATACGGTATAGAGCTATAGTGTATACCTACGTGCTAATAACATGGTGGTGCGACTGCACAGTGTTATTGGATTTAAAGATAATTTCACGACACTCTATGTCTCTATGAATAGACTAGTTTGCGTTATTTGTAATATTATGTCCATTGCTCCATCTTATCTTAATTATAAAATTGTACAATTTTTTATACTTGTAAACTACCAATGCTAGGGGGTACATATAGGTTCAGCGCCACTGATTACAACTGTAATGCTTGAGGTTGGGATTATTATGCACTTTGCATTGTTTTCCAAATCTAGGTACGCGATACTCGTTTTATACATTGAATTTTTTGACGATTTTAAATTTTAAGGTAATTATTTGCATTTAAAGATTTTTGAAGCATTTTGAAGTTTTTTCTAAATTTAATTTTTAAATTTTTATTTTGCACATGTTTTTACATGAATTATATAATAAATATATGATCTTAAGTCTAAATCTATAGGTATAGAAAAAAAAATAGTTCATTTTCAGATTAAATAAGTAGTCCAAATGATAAGTTCTGTTTGTAAAACTTTTATACGATCGTTTAAAAGTTTAAAATGTATATTATAATTTATACCGAATTTATTTTAAAATTCGTATCTTTAATAGTAGAAAAAAAAATAATTTAGTGCACTATTTAGAATTGTTAGGGCATTTTTATTTTTTCTTAGAACATTAAGATCATCAATAATAATTATGATAATCAACCCAGAAAAAGCCAAGGGGGAAACTGCCCCTACTTGTCCCCCTGCAGACGGACGTGCCTAATTCAAATAACCTAGTAGCTCACATTAAGATTAAAGTATAAAGTTACCTACCTATTATTGCAATTACGAATACCTACGTTATCGAATTTAACATATCATTACTTGTATTTTGTCATTTACGACTAACAGGTGTACTTATTTGTGTTCAAACTAGGTACTAATATAAAACGACCCGATAACTGTCGTACATCATTTTTTTTATTGACTATTATAAGTTTTCATATAATAAAATGTCTAATTTAAAATATAATCGAGTATATCTACATTAAACTGGATGCATACGTACCTAGGTATATAAGGAAAAAACCGGTCTCATTTAGTTTAGTGACAACTTACTGTCATGCAGTTATCTCTATGGTATATATAGGTACCTACTGTTTTATTGAATATATTTTGTGCGTTTATTAATAAGCAACATGTCTAAGATTATATTTTTTATTTCCATAATGCTTCTAAATTCTTACTTAACGGAAGAAGCAAAATTATTCATGACTAATATATCTGGCATACAAATAACTAAAACATTGAAGGTAATTTAATATTATGTAATATTTTAAATTATTTGTTTATACGATATACCTACAATACATTAACACCTGTGATAAATACTGATTAGGTACTAATACTATTGGTATACGACATTGCTGGGTTTAGACTTAACATTTTAGAGACATGTGCTGTAGATACGGAAGTTATGACAGCATTGCAAAATGTAATAGCGTCACTTTGTTGTATATAATTTTTTATAAATTGTAAATATAGGTACCCCGTCATGGCCCAAGACTCACGAGTAATAATTTAATTATTTTATTTTATTTTTATTTTTATTAATTATATGGTCTGGACCTTTTTAAGTTTTAACAATAAACTTTAAATATTTATGACTCCCTTGAGGGACACCCGATAAAGCTAGAAACAAATAAATTAGACTTAACATCAAAATATTATATTTTAATTCTTGTTCGGATAAGTAAGGGTATATAATATTATCAGCATAATATTTTGATTAATATTATAATAAAAAGTCACATAGTAAATATAAACACTAATTTGTAGGTGGTTGGTCGATGATTTTTGTTCGAAATTATTTATTATTACATTTTCCGATACGAAAGTATTGAAATATAGTACGAAACACGATTTGTTTTACAAGTAGGTAGGTAGGTAGGTATAAAATAAATGTAAATGTTCCAGAAAAATTAATTTAATTGAATAGCAAAAATACCGACATTGAAAAATACAATATTTATTTATATACAACTATTATACAGGTACGCTATAATGTTTCTTGAGTAGGTAGGAAGATTGGGCTTTTTACGTCCTGTTTGATATTCAATAGGTATCCACGTTTGGCACTCGATATTTCCTTAAAAAAAATCCAAAGGTTGGACGTAAAAATAAAAAAGTATTATGTTATGCCTTTTTTTAAGAATTACAATATAAGCCATATATATGGCATATTATATTACACTACCTGCCTATAATAGATGTTAATAATAATATTTAAAGAACCCGTGTTCTGTATGATTTTACTTGTCATATCTATGTAATAATCAACAAAAGAATAATACTTAATGGTTACATAAAATCTTATAAAATATATGCATAATAATAATTAATATTTAATATACTTAAAATGATAGAACAAATAGAATAGGAGATACTTAGGTCCTTAAAGAACTTGTGTTAAATCAAATTATATTTCCATGATATAAAGAATCCCCAACTCTTCCGGTAAGCTGTAAGTACGATAAATTGTAGGTGTCATTATCAATTTGTCATTGTAATCGTTATGGTGTTTTCACCATTACGATTACAGTATAGTGTTAATAGTGTTTTTATAGACGTTTTAATATCTAATTTCGTCTGAACTAGAAATTAAAACGTCTATGAAAACACGGTTTATATATTTTTTAGACTATTGGTTACGGTGTGAACTACTTATGAGAAAACTTGTTTGAATTAATATTCAACCCATAGCTATAAAAATAGACCATTTTATAATTTAGAAACTACAACATAATTCACAATTGTTCGTGCAATTAGAACTACATACAAGCTGGCGAAAAGTAAAAATGCTTCTAGACTTCTAATACTCCAGCTTTAATATTGCTAACTCTTTTCTATGTTTTTTAGGAAAAACTTTTTAATTTATTTGAGTCATTTTTCCTTTAAAGTACATATTAGTTTTGAGAAATTTAGTAAATTAATTTGGAACCTAAGTACACATTATCGAGATTAGCACATATTTTATTATTATATTGTATTTTTTATTGCGAAAATCCCGAGACGGTAGTGTTCTGTTTATAAGCCGCTTAAGGACGCCAGCTTTCGAGTAATTGGCTGACGAGCTGCATATTATTGAAGATCATTACATATTTACATTGTTTTAAGCCAGTAGGCTATAAATGTTTTATTATACTATTTTTGGCTGTATACATTTTATTACATTGTTTTTTGCCTACAGGCCACATATTTTTGTATTAGGAATATTGTTTTTTTAAGAAAACAGGCTATATATTTTATATTATTTTGTATCTGCATCACTTAGCCAGCAGGCCACATATTATATATTATACTTATTAGTTATCATAAATGGTTTGCACTAAAAAGCGGTAAAAACCGATTTAAGAAATTATCTTTATTTTAATTATGTAGGGGATCGGAAAAGGTGATGGCCAAAAAAATACAAAATTATATATATTAATTTATTTTTATAACTATTATATTTAAATTTAACACGCGTACTGTATCCGATATGTAGAACATTAGACGACGTTATTTGTGTTTACACTTCCTTTAATAAATTCTTAATTTGTATGTATATTGTGAATGTTGGATGAAAAAATTTGGTTAGATAAATAAATTAATAGGTTATAGGCTATATGTATGTATTATTAAAAAACAAAAGACATGTTTTTAAATAGGTACCTAATTGTTTTTTTAAATAAGTAGGTACATAACAAGGACCTATATTTACATTAACTTAATAAATATACATGTTATTAGTATATGTACGATGTACCTATTTTAAGATAAATAGATACCTATATAAATTTGACATGTAAATGCCTCTCTTAAATTCAGAAATGTGTTCTTTAGAATGCACTTTCATGCTATTTGAAAATTGAAAATAGCTTTTATATTTTGCATTATAAGTATGTTGATAAGTATTTAGTTTATATATTATTGAATAATCTGAATTTAAAACTAGAGAATGTAATATTCATTAATATAAAATTATATATCCACTATTTCTTAGACTTTTAACCTACCTTGATTATCATCTCCAAAACGGCGCTGTAATTTATTGCCTAACCTAGGGTGACCATACGTCCTGTTTTACACAGGATTGTCCTTTATTTCAGCTTTGTGTCCTGACAAACTTCTCTCGGGATGCTTTTTGTCCCGTAATTTCAAGTCTGTCTCATATTAAACCTGTTTTTTGCCTTATTGTTATTGTATACAATTTTTGAAATTTTTAAAATGACATTATTGAATAGAATAATATAAAAATCTATACTTTTCAATTGTATTTTTGGATTTTTGTTTTTACCATTATTATTGTTGCATCACATTGTTGTCGGCGATGTAAACCGGACGTATAATAGTATATTTACCGACCTGCGCAACCAGTTCGTAATCAAATGTGAGCAAATTGCTATTAAATAAATAAATATAAATAATAGCCTAATAATTTATCTTTGTCGTTCACAAACGTTATCTTATTGGATAACAAAAAAATATAATAAATTCTTATTAATTTAAAAATATTCTATATTAAATTATTAAAATATAACAATATGATAATATTTTTGTCCTGGGTTTTATTTTTTTAAATATGGTCACCCTAACCTAACCATTCTATAATATGATTACAGGCCGGAGAAAATATGGGTCCCAATTCGGCGGAACAAGAAAATTTGATGTTTTTGGGAACAAGAGAAGTTGAAGCCGCCACTAAATCGAAAATGCTATATAAAACCCGCAGTCACAGGTACTTAATAGACAACCAGAAGCACAAGGAATTTGATGCAAGAAAACGCTGGCCCCAATGCAAAACAATTGGTGAAGTCTACAATGAAGGAAACGCCCTCTTGTCTTGGGTAAACATACGAATTTATTTGACAGAATCACTGTGTTAAAATTGAAACAAACTCATTTTCAAAAGAATAAATAATAATCCTTCTGATAATTGTCTCGCAACAGGCTTATGCCCACGCCGGGGCTTTCGCAGACAGAATGTGCATAGCGACTAATGGAAGTTACAATCAACTCCTATCCACCGAAGAGCTAATTTCCTGCAGTGGTTTAACAGCTTGTTCAAACGGTTGGCTTTGTAATCATACCGTTGTTTGGGATTATTTCAAAACTCACGGCTTGGTCTCCGGTGGCAAATACAACACAAACGATGTAATTTGAATACTCGATTAGATATCTTATTTTATAATAATCGTTATCATCATTGCATTACATAGGGATGCCAGCCTTCCAGAATTCCACCAATTTGTAACATGCCAACAAAAATAAACAATCGCACATGCGACAAATACTGTTACGGTAATGATACGATCAGTTACAACCATGATCACGTGAAAGGTAAGTCAGGTACTCAGGTATAGCCAATGATAATAACACACTGACGAGTCAGCCATTTCTTAATATTGTTTTATTTCTAGATTATTACAATTTTATTTTATGATTTCAGTTAGCCACTACTATAATATTAGATACAACGATATTCAAAATGAAGTGCAAACTTACGGTCCAGTCACAGTAATGTTTTCACTCTACGACGACTTTTTTCTTTACAAAAATGGTTAGTTTATAAACACGATCAATCATATTATATTTCATGCTATATAAATATTACTGAACTCAATGTATTGTATGGTTTTGATTTCTGCTACAGGTGTTTACGCACAAACTGAAAATTCTAAATGGTTACGATATCAATATGCCAAGTTGATTGGATGGGGAGTTGAAAATGGTGTAGACTATTGGTTGTTAGTCAATACATGGGGCAATGAATGTGGACAGAATGGACTTTTCAAAATCAAAAGGGGCACAAATGAATGCGCCATCGAACAGTTTGTGTATGCGGGTGAACCTAAAATAAAATAATATTATGTTCTTGTAAAATAATAATATTTTAATCATTTTAAACCAAATATAAGCAACATTCAAAGACTTACAAACAAATTATTCGACTTTATTTAATAATATTATATTCTTTTATTCATCAAAATGAAGAGTATTTGAAAATTATTTTGAGTTAGAAATACATAACAAAAAATATCTATTTTTATCTAAGTTTTGAATATTTAATACAGGATTCCTCGTAAGTGTTCATACCTTTAAAACTTTAACAAAAATAAAAATTTTACTGGAAAGTCGAACTAACTTTTTTGAGCGTTCAAAGTTTAAATTTTTTCGACATTCGATTTTCAACTGTAAATTCGAATTCTCATCCAACGATATTTTTTATTTTGTTTTAATTCAAAAATGAAATACCTACCTAGACATTTTCACAAAATGTTAATTTATATAATTTTCTATACTGATAGAATATTCAAAATACATATTTAAACTCGTTTTGAGATATTTATAATTTTAAACTTTTTCTGGTTTTTTCTTCTATAAATGTCAATTTAATGTCGATATGATCGTTTTTGTTGCATCAAAAAGCTCTACAAGATTCGTTATAAATTGTTATAATAACACTTTGAATATATTAAAGATATAAATTCACGTCTCCAGTCGGTACCGTTTCTCGCATACAGTTATTGTATATCAAAATAGAAATCAAATATTGAACACCATCCGTTATCACAGGCTTCAATCGGTCGAGCCTGGAACACTTAGTACCCCAATACTTGAACAGTGCCCCTAATTTTTTTCTTAACGCATCAGCATACATTACGATTCTAATTAATAACTGTGTACTATTTATGTGTATAAATGTATAATTATAATCAAGTTGTATGTGCACTGGGCACATAATATGAATGTGCTAATTTCTAAAAATATTACATAAAATGATATAAACACAATTGTGTATAAAAAGAAGAAAAACACTTCCCAAAATTAAAAAAAAAAAAAAAAAGGTTGGTTTAATAAACAAAAATGGTAAGTATATATACATATTATAATAACACATAATGCATATTATATTTACTCTTTTAATATATCTAAATGCTGATTGCTGGGTTAAACTTACTGTCAATTATAATTTATAGGTTAAGTATCTATTATCTACTCATAGGGTAGGTTAGGTGACAAAGTCCCCCTCAAGTCACCATACAATTTATCCGGTATGGAACGGAGTTTTGTCTATAGTCTATATAGGTACCTAGTACCTAGTGTTGTTCTATTGAATATGTTTTATGTGTTTATTAATTAACACCATGGCTAAGATTTTATTTTTGGTTTCCATAATACATCTAAGTTCTTACTTAACGGAACAAGCAAAATTGTCACACGATAACTTGGTCGATAAAACGGGCGTATGTAATTTGCGCCAAAAACAACCCAAAAAAAAAAAAAATATGTAATTTGCGCCACATCTAAAATTGTATTTTGGTAATTTAAGCCACTTTTTTACCTTGCAATTTGCGCCAAACAAAACTAAAAAAAAAGGCAATATGTAATCTGCGCCATCGTTTACCTACAAAAATTGTAATTTGCGCCATAGTTCACCTTATTGAAATTGTAATTAGCGCCACAAGTAAAACAAATTTTCGTTTAGTAATAAAACATATAAAAATCAGTCATATTATAATTATAAATAAATATATACAAGTAAAACAAACTCCGTATATATTAAATAAGGAAATTTTCGTTTAGTAATAAAACATATAAAAATCGGTCATATTATAATTATAAATAAATGTATAAAAGTAAAACGAACTCCATGTATATTAAATCTCCAAAAAAAACTTCGGAGAAGTAAAAAAAGTCTTCTGTGCTTTACTTAAATGGATTGGAGTACTTGAATTTTGAGGTAAATAAAAAATTGAAATCAATATCAAAATTCTGTGCTTAGTAGGTGCAAGAGAGAGTATAAAGAAAGTTCCTGTTAAAATTGTGGTAAATAAAGAAGTGAAATCAAACCTCAAAATTCTGTGCTAAAACTTAATTGACTATTGAAGAAAATTCGATGACATGCAATTTTACCACATTTTTAGCTAAAAAAAAAAATTGCACAGAACGTTCCACATTTGCCCGCAAAAATTCACATGTCCATGGATGGACTTCGTTCTGTGCAATTTTTTTTTGTAGCTAAAAATGTGGTAAAATTGCATGTCATCGAATTTTCTTCAATAGTCAATTAAGTTTTAGCACAGAATTTTGAGGTTTGATTTCACTTCTTTATTTACCACAATTTTAACAGGAACTTTCTTTATACTCTCTCTTGCACCTACTAAGCACAGAATTTTGATATTGATTTCAATTTTTTATTTACCTCAAAATTCAAGTACTCCAATCCATTTAAGTAAAGCACAGAAGACTTTTTTTACTTCTCCGAAGTTTTTTTTGGAGATTTCAGCTATTTTTCTGAAGCAAGAGACATTAATTCTATATTGATAATGGTACTTTCCTGTTATACGACTATACGAGACTACGGCTGTTATCGAGACTACCACCCAAGACTACCTCCGTTGTCGAGACTACCGCACTTATTTTGTGAAACATCACAATCCTGTTATCTAAGACTACCAAAATGGTACTTCCTGTTATACGTGACCACCTTTATTTTTCTTGCTTTCTTTGATAGATTTTTTAATAATATGTACTTTGGGGATGGCCAGAATGAAATAAAGAAAACATTTAAATACATAGTAATTATTCGTAATGTATTTTACATGTTACACGTCAAAGTGCCAAATTTGGCGCGATGTATGGAAAACAATAAAATAATAAAATAATAATAATAATACAAAATGATAAATCCACAAATATAATAAATATAATCGCAGCTTATGGATATCGTTCGACTATAATGTCAGCTAAATAAGATAAGTAGTCGGCAGTCGCCATAACGGAGGTAGTCTTTGGTGGAAGTCGCGATAATAGCCGTAGTCTCGTATAACAGGAAAGTATAATTTTAGTAGTCTTAGATAACAGGATTGTGATGTTCTCAAAAAACAGGGTAGTCTAGTATAACAGGAAAGTACCTTGATAATCTATTCTATAATTATATATTATATCTCTTCTAATACTAATATGTGAGCATTTTTTGAATTGATCGGCCATGGTCTTTTAATTAGTAGTTTATGCAGTACTTGCATAAAATACGGACTCCCCGAGACAGCAGAGAAAGATAAACATACGGCCGACCGTCGGTACGTTTATCACTGTTATTGTAATAATGTACGCCGTACGGATGGTAATAAATAATAATCGAACGGACGGACAATATAGCTACAGTGCTACACACAACCTGCAGCACGGCGGATAGTGAGCAAATGAAATCAGAAATTCAGAAATAGTAATAGGAAATAGGAATTAGGAGTAGGATTGTAGGAAGCGCGTTGCGGAGTGCGCTATGCCACACTGCCGCGCCGCCGTGCAAGCAAGGTCACGCACTCACGCATGCGCATATCGTCACAACTCAACGCGGTATTGCGAAAGCGAAAAACTAGTAAATTCGACCGATCTCCATATACGTTGCATGTAAAAATCAAAATATCGTCCGTTTTCCTGTATATATATCTCTCTGTTCACTCTGTGCTACGACACCGGGCCGCCGTAAAGCACAGAACGCTCTCTAGCGAGATCTATCGATTAGTAAATTTTATAATTTTATATAACACATAATTTTTGAAATAAAATACCTAGCTACCTACTTATAATACCTAGCTTACTTAAGTTTTTTTTATATTTATAGCTTAATGACGAAACTAAGCCTTTTCTGTCAATTTTATTTTGTCTGTAGTTCTCATATTTTGTTGAAAAGTTTTCAAACAAATTTTATTTTTAGTAGAATTTCGTTTTTTAAGATGTATACTTTTAATTTTAATCAAAGCTTCGGTTTGAAATCCTTTCAGTATGTCCAAAAAGTTGTAAATAGTAGGATTTGAGTGATAGAACTCGGAATTGAAACGTGAATGATATGATTCGCACGCGTTTTAGTAGTGAGAGCTAGTGACGCGATATTCGCAGCCCAAATTATTGGTGGAAATTTAGCCTCTTCACAGATATATGTGTCAACTAAATAATCGGCATATTTTTGAAATCTTATGTCATTAGGAATCGATGAAATCTTCAATAAAACAGTTACTGACCTCATTTGGAGAAATAAATGGCAACCCAAATGTATGGCTTAGCCACTTGGTTTCTTCTGTTTTATTATTTTGATATACGTTGGATAAGCCCAATTCCTGAATTTTTCTATACCACGATTGAGTTAAGTGAAATCTACAACCAAATATTTTAGTGTCATCCCAGACTTGTCTCAATGCTACATGAATTGCTTCTTCAAAATTAGATATAAATAAATTTGGTTTTAGAGAAAGTTCACGTGCATTACACAAATGTATGATATTTTTAAATAAATTTACGTAAGTTGAAGTTTTTTTTTGTCTGGAAGTAATGCAAATAAAAGTAGTATATAATGATCATTGCATAAACCATGCAAAGAAAACAATTGCGTGAATAACTTGGGACAATATTCAAAAGTTCCATCCATGTATAAAATCTCAGATTCGCATAGAACTTTTAAATTTGTGTCACATGAAAATATTATTATATGACAGTTCTGATCATTTATTAATAAAAATTCTTCCAATGTTTTTGGTAATGGTGGCACCATTTTTCTACTTGCGTTATAAATATTTCGTCGAACTAGTGATATATCATCGGTAGTGATAGTTTGTAAATTAGATATATTTTCAGAAATTTCAGTTCGTAATATCTTACTTTGTTTAGTATATCTACAGCTTTTCTCTTACATCCATTTGAATAAATTTTTCTGTCTATACTTGGTTGATCATACCCGTTATGTTCATTTACAAATTACAATTTCAACTATTTCTACAATATTTTCTATAGAAGTATACACTTTTGCAGTGCAAGTTCTGAAAGTACAACGCCATCGTACTGAAGAATTTTTCGATTCATGA